ATTAAAATCAGGCTTCTGTCTTTCTCTCAATAGAGCGTCTCTGGCTTAAGACTGACCGACACCTTCTTAAAGAGAACATATGAATACGATGACATCGCGCAGGTCTGCGTGGTCTCGTCCGCCGTTAAAATGGAAAACTGAAGAAAAGGTCTAAGGCCAGGCTTTCCATTTAGTTTCACAGAACTGCTGTCTTTTTGTCAGCTTTGTAAAATGATCGGTTTAGCAATCAAATTAAGTATGTGTTATTTAAGTTTCTTTCCTTTGAAACATTAAATATTTGTTTTGAAAGGGATAAAATCACATGAACGTTTGTTGTTGTTTTTCATTTTAAGTGAGCACTGGACTCTCTTATCCAAACACACTTTATTTCAGAAGATCTGTTCCTATCAAGCCAACTGGGGTTAGCAGACTTGTCTGTCAAGGCCAGCTAGCAAATGATTTTTGGTTTTGCAGGTTATGTTTCTGCCCCAAGTAGTGAACTCTGCTGTTGTATTGTGAAAGCTCGAATAGACAGTTGTACGAGAGAGGGGCTGTCTTTACAAAAGACAGGGCAGAGTGGATTGATTGGGCCATAGTTTGTTCACTTGGATCTAGAGGATATTTATTTCTTAGAAGTTTAGAATTATCTTAATATTTTCTCAGATAAGAGTTCATTTAGCCTGCACTTACCTACCTCCACAGTCAACAGAAAAGCTGTTTGTTTAAAACAATCGGTAGTCCTTGTATAACCTATTGTTTGCCAGGACAGTAAGAACTTTTCTCATTATTTTCTAAATGATTAAATTGGGAAGTCATATGTATATGTCTTTCAGTTACAGAACAGTGGATCAGAATTGGATTTATTTCTAAGGTGGTTAATTGCTCAGTTAATGTTTAACTGAGTAGACAAATAATTTTCTAATTTTAAGCCAAAAAGTCTTGGTTTGTCTTACCATGGAAAAATAAGCTACTTATCTTCACGAGGCTTATTTTAAAACGACTTCCAGCTCCTGCTCCTTGATCTTGAATTCTAGGTCAGGTAGTAACATAATAGCATTTTCTAGCTCAGGAAGAGCTAAAAGTCAAACTTGCATCATGAATGAAACGTCATGAAATGAAAGTGATTGTTGTCGATGACTGCCACATGAACACACCAGAAAGTTTGAATATTTTGTCAGGAAAATAAAGATTAGCTTTTAAGCAAAATCTGCCCCATCTTGGTAACCTGAACCTCAACAATGTATACAGAATTTCCTAAGTGAAAGAATGAATTAAAATCAAATACAAATTCTTTTCTTGAATGCATAAATATTTATTGCCATGACAAACTGTTTGGTCCAAAAGAAAAGCAATGGTCAGGGCGAGGCTTGCTCCTCAAATTAAAGAGTAATTAATGAAATGTCTGTGCAAAATAAAATGCAAGTAGTGTAAAATCAAAGGCTCTTTTTCTTCCTAAATGATTAACAGAAATGATGACACAAGACTTTGTAGCCACTGCACTGGGCACTTCAGTTGGGTTTGGAGCATCTTCTCTTGACTGAACCTTGTGTTGCAGATTTGAAAACTTAACATATAATAGACACTTGGAATCTGCTATATAATTGGATTTTAAAGTCTCCTATTTATAGACAATAACCCAGCCATATATTGTTTGACTTCAAAGTTTAGATAATGTCCCCTCAGAAAGAATCTGTTTAAACCATATTAGAAAAGTTGGTAAGATAGAGTTTGGTACATTAAATGAAAATGTCGTTTTAAGTTTTACATAGCATCAACAGCTCCTATAATGAAATACGGTCAATGGAAGTCCAGCATTGCTAAGTAGAATGTGTACAGATATTTATATAATGCCCTCTTGTTTCTCTAGCTAGTTTGGACAAAATTTTCCAGACATGCAAGGATAATAATTGAGGGATTTCTCCTAATTTTAAGCATCAACCAATCACATGGAACAGTCTGTTCTGTAGCTTATAATGTAATGAGTCCAAAGTAATGAAAATATTTTCTTTAAATGCAAAAGTGGCCAGAATAGAATGGGAATCCAGGTAAGTGGACATATAGATAATATGTAGATTGAACCTGTTATAGGTGGTATAATCAAGAAAACAAAATTAAGACATGACATGGAAGAAATATATCAAGTCCCATTATTACATTTAAAAAGGATTCCCTTAACTATGGATAATAGCAAATCAAGACATTATTTACACGTATTTTCTCTTACAGTATCTTTTACTGATTTTCGGTACTAAGGTAATGATGTTCAAGAGCTAGATGGAAATTTTCTTCAAAATTTCTGGAAGAGATTGTGTAAAATTGATATTTTCCCCATGTGTGTGGTAGAATTCAACAGCAAAACCATTGGGGCAAGAAGCCCCATTGGGGCAAGAAGCCCCATTGGGGCTTCTTTTACAAACGGTTTAACTCTGAATTCAATTTCTTAGATTCATATAGGTGTGTTTATGTTATTTCTTCAGTGAGCTTTGGTACTTTGTATCTTATAAGTGATTTATTTCATCCAAGTTGCTATATATATGGACCCAGTGCTGAGGACGCTGTGGTTCAGTGGTAGAATTCTTGCCTTCTCAGGAGACCTAGGTTCACTTCCACTACCCATCGATCAGGGAAGGTTTGTGTGTTGCTGTAAAGCTGAATTGGTTTCTGCGGAGCTTACAGGATAAGATGGACTGAGGAAAGCGGCCTGGCGAATTACTTCCAAATACCAGCCAGTCAAAATCCTGTGTGTAATCAGTCACAGGGCTGGCACAGGACCGGGCAGCTCATTCCATTTTGTTGGGAGACAACTTGATGGCAACTAGCAATAACAGGGTTGGTCTCAGTAGTTCTACTCGTATTTCTTTTGTGGCTCAAACACAAGAACAATTGCGGGAGTGGCACAGGGCCAGGCAGTGTTTTGGTTTGTTGTGCACACGGTCGCTGTGAGTCAGTACAGCCTCGCGGCACCTACGACAGCATCACTGAGAGTGGTTCTCTTAGTCTGGCAGAGGCTTGACAGTGTCATTGATCTGAATGTGCTTTGAATGCTAACACGATGAGCTGGAAACCTTTCATTTCTTACCCAGTATTGAGTAAGGAAGATTATAGTCTCTAAAAATCAACTTTGGTTCTCATTTTGTTTTTTCATCATTTGTAGGTGATCAATTAGGATTTTATTCTGAGTAATGCTTGAACACTAGGGGTTGAATTTAACTTCATGTAAAATTAAGTTGTTTTCAAAGTAATAAAAACCACATTCAAAACCAAGCCTATGGTCATTGAGTCAGTTCCCAACTGACAGCGACTCTATGATGGAGTAGACTTGTCCAAAGAGTATCTGAGGCTGTAAAATCTTTCCAGAAGCAGACAGCTGGTGGGTTCAAACCACTGACCTTTCAGTTAGCAGACAAATACCTAACCACTCCTGAGAGAGAGCTTTTAAAACTAGAGTCCTGATCGTCCCTGATCAGGGGAGTCCGTCTAGGTCTTCCTTGTTGCCTGAGCCCAGAAGTCTTTGCGAGTCCAACTCGAGAAAGCTAAGTAGCTCTCTGATCAGAACCACCTGATAGTCTCTTCAACACGGTGATTCCTGGGCCCAAACCACATGTCCAGCATGCCCTGGACAGCATTTTAAATAAATTCCCCAGATGTTACAGTGAGATGATCCTTGTCACAAAGGGAAACAAAAAAGTCAGCTTTTAAACTTCACGACCCCAACTAGTTCGTTTTTTTTGTGGTGAAAATAGTTGTAACAAGACTTTCATCATCAACATTTTACTTTCTTTTTCCCAATCAAAACTTGGGAAATCATTACACATCAGCCCCACTTTACCAAATTTGTGACGAACAAGCAAAAGAACTTGTCGTTGGAATTAGAACCATCTCATCTATCATTGTAATTAGAGTTAGGGCATTATTACCTATTGTCAGGTCTCTCCACTTAACGTGGCATCTAATTTGCAATAAATACTTTAAGTCTGCTTTGTTTCAGTTGCATCAGATTGAGGGTCACCTTAAGAGGGGCATGACACTAAACTATAAAAGATTACATAAGCAAGCAGTGTTCGTGATAGATGCCTTTTGTAATCCATCAAACAACTACATGGTGTGGGCAGTCATTAGTATTTATGGAAAGAAACAAGACAATCCTTAGGGCCAAGCCACTGGTTTCTTTAAACACAGGTATATCCTGACCTGCGCCAGAGTTTCCACGGTAAGGTCACCACTGGCGAAATTGTGCTAACTGGCTATGCATAAGACTGAGCTAACCAGTACCATTAAGGATTTCTAAAAGTCTTTTATTATTAACTTAGAACAACTGGTCATGCTAATATTTATCAATACCAAATTGCAGGCAAGATTGAGAACTATGCAGAAAACCTGAGCAGCCTACCCTCACCACCTCTACATTCATCTCACCAATTTTTTTCTTTTCAAAACAATGTCCTTACACCAAGCAGTTGCTGTCAGCTCTTGAGATTCTCTCACTCATTAAAGCAAGCAGCATGACAGGTGGCCCTCGGACCTAGGGTATACATCATTACTGATGGTGCTAGGGTATACATCATTACTAGGGTATACATCATTACTGATGGTGCTAGGGTATACATCATTACTAGGGTATACGTCATTACTGATGGTGCTAGTGTGTACATCATTACTAGGGTATACGTCATTACTGATGGTGCTAG